CCTTTTAACTGTCCAGGAAATGATATACACTGTGTATTCAATGAAATGTTTCTAAAATTTTTTGGCTGAACCTTAATTAAAGAGTTGACGTTAATAAATAAGCTGTTTTTCCAAGTAGCTTAAGTTTCTAACGTTACTAGTCACAACTTTCGATTCTTGTTATCTATAGCTTTCTCATATTGTACTTCTACAAAGGCCTATAACAGTATTACCAAACATTTCTAACATTGCTAATCACAACTTTCTAATTATCTATATCTTTCCCATAGATATTGTAGTTCTCCAAAGGTCTTTATTAACAGTTTTACCAACGCCTACTCAATTCAGGTTATTTCCGAGTTTTTCAAATAGGGCCTGCTACAAAACCTTTCATTTGAAAGTGAACGTGACTTCCATATATATTAGACAACTCGTTTTCGCCAGAAATCAAAACTGGTTCTTTCACCCAAAATATCATTGCCTGATGCAGTTCTTTGCATGAAGTTCCTGGAGGGCAAGGTGAGGTGAGTTGTCGAATTTTAACGATTTTCTTGAATTAATTAGCTTTTCAAAGATATTTATATATAAAAAAAAATAATAACTATTTTTCAGCTTTGCACGATTTCACGGCAGCAATTAATCCTCGGTTAGCGATTAGCGATAAGAAAATCAGTCAGTCGTTATTACGGTGAGCCAGAACAGAATCAGTCTTATTTAAACAATCCAAGGAGAAAAAGAAGAACATTTTAACGTTCTTTGACCCTTGATGAAATTGAACACAAAACTGAAATGCCTCTCGCTCTGAAAAGTGATTTGAAATGATTTGCTGGAATATCACCTCTTGATGAAAATTGAAAATCTAAGGACATTTTCCAATCCGTTAACTCTATTCCTACTATATAAAAGAGTGTTGCTTATAATATGGAAAATCTAAAACTTTTAGCCCTTTTGCTCATACACTCGGAATAAAGTAAATATTTTCTTTTTAAATTATTCTCAGTTGAATTTTTCAAACTTTTACAGTTTTGAGCTTTGCACTATTCATCGGGAACGACGCTTCGGTGATAGAAAACACATTTCTTAGATACCAAGGTAAGAGATGGTCATTTGTTACACTAGTACCAGGAATAAACTTACGTTAGTTTAATCGACGATATTTTCTCGACGAGAACAATGCATCCGGACTTATATTAGAATTTCAGTCTCGCGAAACTCTATTATATATTTGTAATTAAAGCAAAAGACTTACTGTTGTTCAGGGCTTTATGGCAAGAAGGAAAAAATTAGGTTGGTTTGGTATCTTTTGGGAGCCATGAATCACAAAAGCGTTTAAACTCGGAATCGATCTTTGATGAGATCAGGCACAGTGATATGAGCTAATTTTATCATCATCTGACAAAGATTTGTTTATATTCGCGCGTGCACGCCCTTTGATGTCAAGTGCGGTGCCAAGTCAAGTGTATCTTCGATTTCTCTATTTTAAGGAAAGTCAGAAAATACAGTAAATTGATGGAAAATTGAGTCAACATTATACAGGTGTAGTACAAAAAAAAAAAATTATAATAATAAAAGTAAATAAATGAAGAATGCTGTCAATTGCAAAAAGGCGATCAGTTCGGCTTAACCTGCCTGTCAAAACACGCTTGGCCTGACAATAGGACAATCACATGACTTTTGGAGGGCATATAGTTTATTTGTGGCCCGAGTAGCATCATTTGCGCCCGAGCGCGAAGCGCAAGGGCGCAAATGA